CCATCCAGACTTTCCAGGTTTATTTTCTCGCCTCCCAGTTCTCTGGAATTCCAAAATTTCCAGGTGTATTTTCTTACCTCCCAGTCCTCTGGAATCCCAGATATTCCAGGTTTATTTTCTTACTTCCCAATTTTCTCCCAGACATTGCAGGTTTCTTTTCCTACCCTTTAAACAAGCACCTGGAATGTCCGCTCCGTGCTCTGGCCCCACATCCCCAGATTTTTCCCTTAATTCCTTCCCTCTCTTCCCCTTCCAGCCATTCCTTGTGAGTTTTCCAGGTGGGAATGGCTGGGAGCAGGGTTTTGGCTGGAGCCAGCCTGGATGCATTTTGAATTCCAGGCCTGAGCTGGAGCTCAAGGAGCAGCAGACAAGGAATGGGATTAAGCTCCAAGTTCATTCTCCAGGCTGGAAAAGCCCCCCTGTGTCCCTTTTCCTGCAGGAAAATCCCTTCCTGCCCCAGGTTTTCCGCTCCTTTTCCTTTGCTCCTGGCCGGTCCTTGGACCAGGCTCTGACAGGAATGTTTGGGATCCTCACTGGGTGATTCCCAGAGGTTTGTGGAGGAGGGAAAGAATTCCAGACTTTTCCTTTCCATTCCTCTCAGAGAGCTTGAGATACAAACACTTGGGAATGGTTTTCCAAGGAAAATCTGCGGAACAGGATGAAACAAAGGGGGATTTCTCTCAGGAAGAGCTTTTGGGGGAGGTTTTCCAGGTGTTCCAGGGAATGAGATTCCCTGGACATTCTCCCTTTTCCTGCTGGGATCCTTCCAGAGCCATTCCTTGTGCTTCCCTGGAAATTCTGGAGGTGTTCCCAGCTGTTCCTCAAGGAGACGTCGAGGTTGGGTTGGGACTGGGAGAGGGGAACTGGGAAGGTGGGAGGTGTTTCCCTGTTCCCTGGAGCTGTATTCCTTGTATCCCCTCTTCCCTGTATCCCCTGTTCCCTGTATCCCCTGTTCCCTGTATCCCCTGTTCCCTGGAGCTGTATTCCCTGTTCCCTGGAGCTGTATCCCCTGTATCCCCTGTTCCCTGTATCCCCTGTTCCCTGGAGCTGTATTCCTTGTATCCCCTGTTCCCTGTATCCCCTGTTCCCTGTTCCCTGTATCCCCTGTTCCCTGGAGCTGTATTCCCTGTTTCCTGTATTCCCTGTTCCCTGGAGCTGTATTCCCTGTTCCCTGGAGCTGTATCCCCTGTTCCCTGTATCCCCTGTTCCCTGGAGCTGTATTCCCTGTTCCCTGTATCCCCTGTTCCCTGGAGCTGTATTCCCTGTTCCCTGGAGCTGTATTCCCTGTTCCCTGATCCATATTTCCTGTTCCCTGAACCATATTTCCTGTTTCCCACATTCCCTGTTCCCAGAGCTGTATTCCCATTCCCTGACGGGTATTCCGTGTTCCCAGAGCTGTATTCCCTGTTCCCAGAGCTGTATTCCCATTCCCTGACAGGTATTCCGTGTTCCCAGAGCTGTATTCCCTGTTCCTGATGGGCGTTCCATGTTCCCAGACCTATGTTCCTATTCCTGAGGGGTGTTCCTGTTCCAGGCCAGCGCTGTCCCCCCGCCCGGAGCGGGCACCGCTGCGTGGCCGACAGCTCCAACCTGTACGTGTTCGGGGGGTACAACCCCGACTACGACGAGTCGGGGGGCGCCGACAACGAGGACTACCCGCTCTTCAGGGAGCTCTGGAGGTACCACTTCGCCACCGCCCGCTGGCACCTGCTGGCCACCGAGGGGTACATGCCCCGGGAGCTGGCATCCATGTCACGTGAGTACTGACCCCACAGCTGCCCATACACACCCCACAGCTGCCTCCGTGTCCCATACCTACCTACCCATCCCAAAACACCCAGGGGTACATGCCCCGGGAGCTGGCATCCATGTCACGTGAGTACTGACCCCACAGCTGGCCATACGCACCCCACAGCTGGCTGTACCCACCCCACAGCTGGCCATACACACCCCACAGCTGGCCATA